CCAGGGGCGAAAATCCGGGAAATTACTGTCCATTATGTGCCAAAATTGAACCTATTCGAGATCTGTCGGAAATAAACATACATTTGATCTTGCGTAAATGACAGGGGCCGTAACCCAAGATGCTGCGGGCGAAAATCCGGGAAATTACGGTCCATTATATGCCAAAAATGAACCTATTCGAGATCTGTAGGAAATAAACATACATTTAAAGTTTTAAAAGAAGTTGAATAAAAAATTGTGACCTCTAGATCCAAAAGCTATGTGTGCTAATTTCGTACGATCAGGAGCTATAATCCAAAATGTTATCGTGAGATAAGTGCCAATATCGAACTCATGCGAGATCTTTGGGATATCAACATATAGTGGCCTGTGGACACACGTACGGACAGGGCTGATGGCATACGTGCACATGAAAATATGGGTGGATGCAAAATCTTGAAAGCATTATTTTTGTCTATACTTCACTATGTTGACTAATCAATTTTAAGGTTATGTACATTTGAAGCCCTGTCAAGTATCGTTGGCAGGGGCGGATCTAGGAATTTTGAAAAGAGGGCCGCCGCAAAATGAGGGCACTGACCGCGGAGACGGGGCACGCCGCTGGGAGGTTTTTTTTTTGTTTTTTTTGGGGGGGGGGGTCCCCCCCAATAACATTATCCGTCATTTCCTTGCATCTGTAGCCATTCCAAGAGCTATTTGGCTGATATTTTCGTCTAAGTAAACGTTCGGAAATCGTTGAAAAAGAGCCTTAAAATCGAGAAAAAAAGCCAGTTGAACATGCGACTCGAAAATTGTCAAGGCTAGCGAGGCATTATGATGGGGGAAAAAAAGAATCTATTCCCTAGCCACTTTACTATTTAAGCCATATCTTTCTGGTTGTGGAAAAGGCGCGATTTTACATGTTCCGAATGAGCCACCATACAATTATAAACAGTGCCGCCTATTACCCAAATGAGCTTTAGAATTACAATGACGTCTTTATCGCGTAACATTTGTGAAATGTCAAAATGTTAACGAAACTAAACAGACTACAAGAAATTAAAAGTAATCATGGAAATAGAACAAAATACAAATTCTAACTGCAATATTTAAAAATAAGTCGTATAAATTAGCATTTTTACATGCAGAGGCGTAGCCGTGAAATATATATTGGGGGGGGGGGGGTCCGCAACCCTAAGCCCTAACCCTAACCCATTTTTTAAAACCCCTAAAAAATATAAACAAACACCATGTGGCCATGCTGTCTACCAAGACACCGCGTGCAAAAGCATTATGTTTACGTTGCTGGCTGAGCGGGCAATAAATATTTGGTTTAGGCGGTTATGTTTTTGGGTACCTACATGCGATTCACTCTGATAAGTGGCAGGAAAAAAATAACAAAATTACTGACAGGCTAACTAGACACAATTTTATGGAACACAGGTACTTTTCACTTCACACATGTTTCCAGGATGATTATCTGTTTTATTTTAGCAGTATAAACCATATTGGGATATATACAGGTTTTATACAGATCGAATCTTAACTAATCCTAATTGTTGTAAATAAATATGTAAATTTTTGAGGGGGTCCAAGTATATTCACCCCCCCCCCCCATGTGTGACGTCCATGTTTAAATGTGTAAATAGCCAATTTAACATGTGTTAGTAAGAAGTTAAATGCATAGAAGTAAGCATATTAGCATACGCATTACTAGGTTTGGGGTCAGAATTATGAGGGAAATTCCGTTCCATAAGAATCTACATGATGTCAGCCGATCGACTAGAGCTCTGGTGGTTTTCTACCCTTGGGTTTCGGCTTTCACTTATCTAATTGGTCAAATATGACGTAATTAATTAATTGGTTAATAAGCCAGATGATGCAATGGTAATTTTCCTATCATTAGTGATAAACATGATATTCTGTTTTCACACAGAACAAGCTATGTTTTGGTTTTATAAATCTTTTTATGTGTCAACCCATCACCTATTCAATTTAAGTGCGTGAGATATGACTTTAATACAAAATGAAACTTAATGAGTTAAAATATAATGCTATTATTAATTTAAAGAGCAAACTTTCTACTAATCTTATTATTTATTACACCTTAGATCAAAGATTGTAGGACAACTGAGCGTCTAACTAATGAGCGGGCCCCGACATGCTGCTATGAACGCGCTCGGTTGTACGATTTGTTAATTAGAGCACAGGACCCGCATATTTAAATATTTTATATACTCATTTAGATATTTGCTACTGAAATTTCTTACATAGTTGTTGTAATGCCATGTATGACTCTGCAAATTATAGATCATTCCAAGTTATGGAGTGATGGATTGGTTTCGATTTGCGTTTAATGGCACACGCAGTTAAAACATAAGGATATTTACAAGTGATCAAGACCGTAAATGCATTCAGCAGAAGTTTTTTTTTATCATCCATTAAGTGTTTGACGTGTTTTAACAAACAAAGGGACACTTTTTTGAAACAAATTAGGAATGGAGACGGGATGATGGGTCAAAAGCAGCTTAATGCACCATTTTAAAATTTATTTTGCATGATAAACATTTATCAAAGGTTGGTATGTTTATAAGGGACCCGGGCCCTTTTCATAAAACGCATGCTTTAACAATTTGAGACTGATTAATATAAGCTTTATTTTCCGAATCCATATAATATATTATGCATTGTATATTGTATATTGTGTGTAATTATATAAATGTTAAATAAATACTGTTTAAATCAACAATCTTATTATAGATCTACTAAAGGCATACACCTACTTGAAAGACCCATGTACCCGTAAAGTAACGTTCTTGCAGGGTCTGTGAGTCACATTTATTTACTACGAAAACGAATCTGTCCACATATCAATAGAATATTATATACCTTCGCTTCGATATAAAGGTCGAATTAAATTGAAGGTCCATATAAATATAAAACGACTGATATTTGAAATAGAACCATGAAAACTGCGAAAGTAGTAACGGGTGTTTCAAACAGAGTATGTACGCCCGGCGAAGAATTACAAACTGATTGCTTTTCCAAAAGACTAAAGTAAGTAATTTCACATGGAATATTTACTTTGATTAGGTTCTAAACAGTATTGTGATTTCGAAGCTTACCATGTATCAAGTTAAACTACTTGTTAAATATAATATATGAACTTGGACTTTATGAACGTGTTTGATTAATGAGGAGCTATTGTCCAATACGAATGTCAATACGTTTCTTCAATATTATCGACTTCATCAGTTTTGGATTGGTTAACGAGCTATGTTCAACGAACCGGTCTGAATCTAGATTTAAGCATCTAGAAACAGCGTAGATTCACACCTGGCTGACTTCTAAAAGTAATTTTTGCTCCCATGCATTGGGATATTGTGTATATAGATTTTTCCCTACAATTGGAACTAATAGACCCATCATGGATATTTAAGGGCTGTAAAACGAAGGATTTCAGCCAATGACTTGACTGTGGGGCAAATTAAAAAGCCGTATTTACACAATTTTGGATTCATTACCGGGATAATTTCCAGGAACCAATCTGAATTCAGGTTGGCGTATCTATGCACAGAGTAGATACAAAATGTTGCTGGCTTCTAAAAACAATTTATGATCCCATGGGTTGGAATAATGTGTATTTACACTTTACTGTCTTTTGGCGTACTCACATTGGAACTAGTTGGTCCCATCAATAGAGTGCCGACGTTTAACGACTTTACGAGGGTTTTCTGACAATAACTGGACTTGGGGGCAAATTAAAAAGCAGCATTTATACAATATCAACGTAAATACGACGGGGTTGCAGCCGTATATTCCGAAATGGGTGCCAGAAGAGGGTACCTTAATCCGAATTATATATATCATTATTTTTAAAATAAGTGTTCAGTTGAGGGTCAGGGCCAATGTCGGTAATTAAACAGATAAATGTTTAAGATTTTTAATCTTACATTTTATTGCAACAGAATTACTACATGAATTATAAGTGATTTAAAGCACATATATATTAAATTTGATTGAATTTAGGTCAATGAATAAGAATATGATAATGATAATATTTTACGTTTATAGGGAAAACATTTTAATCACAGGAAACTCGCTTAAGCTTATAAAACATTTCAGCCCTAAAATGCATGAGCGGGCCATCCAAGTGCTTCTTTAAAATCTAGCTAAATGTATGCGTAATATCGCTGGAAAGACATTTTAAAGGTGATTAAAAACACACGAACACTTTTTAAAAGAAATAACAGTTAACTATTTGAACTTCCCCAAAAATGAGAAGTGACATAATTATATTGATTTCCGCTTAGTTGTCAAGAGAGTTCATGGTCTGTCCCAAGACTCGATTATATGGCATAATTGAACATTTAAAACTGTAAAAGAAAGTAGGACAACTCGTAGAACGAAGTTAACAGCTTTTGACAAAAGTAAGCATGACACTAACATCTGTTCTTGTTCTGCGACTGTGTCATACTCGGTTTTTCATTTAAGACCCCAGCAATGATAGGTGTAATTGGACTTCTGTCTAGCGTTGAATGTGGCTGATATTGTTTGTACTAACAAAAGCACATTGTCCATGTGGTTTTATTTTAATCCTTGTCATTAAAAAAAATATATATTAATAATCATGATCACAAACATTATATAATAATAAAACAAGCCATAATTTACTGGTACATTTAATCTGTTATAATGGACATTTGACAACGACATCGCAATATTCATATCTTGATTGTATATTGCTGTTTATACAATCTATTGTAAGTAGAAATATATATATATATATATATATATATGAAGTGAGAAAAATAAAACACTAATTTAAAATAATAATTGAAATTTCATTGAAGAGTAACCATGGTTGTATAAGTGATTACGTATGTATAATTGAATGTAATGGATTACAGATCACGATTACCGGAGTCATGGTGATCTGCAGCGTTGGATTGCGTTGAGAAATATAAGTTCGGTGGATTGTCTAACGTTGGAAACCGAGCATAGCGACCTATTGGCAAAATATTGATGGTGTAATGTGACATTTACAGTTTTATCGAAATTGTGAAATACAGTGTGCTACAGCATCCCAAAAATCTGTAAGGTTTCGTCTCCCACTGTGATACTCATCTTTCAGCCGTGTAATTCTAGCCTCCAGCTGCCGCCATTTTAACCTTCTTTTTGGAGAAGGGTCTCCTCTGTCTGCCGCATCAGCTGAGATCTCGACGTTAGATTGAAGATCTTTGATATGACGAATGAAAATCCATAAAGATGGATGACGTTCTGAGACTATTTTATTCCATACACAATGGAATGCTGAAATAAAACAAAAAAGTAAACTTGTTAAGTTGGGTAAAATCTGATTCAATTTAGGTCACTGGATATAGTTATCTGATTCAATTTAGGTCACTGGATATAGTTATCATTCCTATCTACTTAAGTATATTTTTATATTAAATTTCACCACATAATGATAACCAGTTTGACTGCACAGACAACAAAATTAAATCATGCAATATGTCAACCCTGTTCGGTACGTAAAAATGTAATTTTAACACAACCAATAAAACAGTAAAACCCAGCTATTTAAAGACACGAAATGAAATAGTCTCCCTTACGGATATACGTAGTACGATTATTATTAGCTATATGAACTAACCAAATAAATAGGATTTGTATCAGTTATTCTAGTAAGATTAAACTCGTACTGTCTCGAGTACGACACCGCTCAATGTATTATTATGTTTAATTGTGTTAAAATGTAAACTAAATTTTAGGTTTATCAACCCACACACTTAGTTTTCATACAGTGGTAGATCAATTTCCCCTTTAATGGTGGTCCCGTGTTCGATCCCTGTGTGGGCCAAGTTAAGTTGATGGGGGTTTTCCGGTTTGGTTCCTCCTTATCAGCGGTGCAGAATGAAAGGCCTGACAAAAACAATATAGTCGTTCTGATGGGACCCAAAACAATATTCCGTGTACATGTAGAAGAACCCTTCACAGTTGTAATTTGATATAAAAATAGGACGCAGCACCGCTGTCCGGACAATATCTTATTATCCCTCATAGCACACTATGGCGTACTTCCGTTTTCATTAGCCCAGTCGGAGATAAAAAAAAAAGTAGGACGTTAAACTCCATTGCATTGCATTCCCCTTTAATTTTAATTTCAAAACTAAATAGTAGTGTCATTAGATTATGGAACAATAAAATGTTAAACAACAAATTTATATTAATAAATACTGAATTTATAAATTAATATTAAATAGTCCAAAATTAGTTTTATGGGTGTCTTGAATAAATTATAGAATTCCGACCGTTAAAACAGATTTAAGGGGCCGGTGGATAAAAAAAAAATTTCCAGGGACAAAAAATGTTTCATTATCGAATCCATATACCTACATATGTCGAATGTCTGTGATAAAAAAAATGTCATAAATGAACGGCTCGACAGTGTATATCGCGTTGATAATTACCATGATGGTTTGGGTTGGCGATGGTGGAATATTTCGCTAAAGCGTATGGGTCACCTAGCACACAACTTTACAAAATATGAGCAGACCGCGTAATTGTAATATATTTGAACACTGGAAATGCTCATCATATGATCTTTCAAACGAATCATAGCGAATTAGGTGGTGCCGTCGATGAAGACCCGAGAGAAGCGCCATTGTCCGGGCAAGATGGCCCACATAGTACAGTGCATGGCACATTCCAGTCTTCATTAGCCCGATTGGTTCAGAAAGGTGGGGCAGTTTAACCCCGTTTCATTTCATTTACTTTCACAGATGATGATAATCTTGCTTTATTGAAACTAACAACGCGCTAATTATTCTATCAACTATCCCTAGAAATAATTTCTGTTCATAACTTAACTTGATGTAAGCCGCGGAATTTTGAAATTAGGGAAGAATTCTGTACTATCCATTTCTGAACCGTTCCGAATCAACATATTATGTGGGCATTTTCAGTATCCGACCCCTCACCTCATACACCTTCAAGGATCTTGATAATTTAGCAAAAAGAACGCCAGGACAATTTACCCAATACTACCCAATACCACTTAATACTAACTACTTAATATTTCTGAACCGTTCCGAATCAACATATTATGTGGGCATTTTCAGTATCCGAACCCTCACCTCATACACCTTCAAGGATCTTGATAATTTAGCAAAAAGAACGCCAGGACAATTTACCAAATACTACCCAATACCACTTAATACTAACTAAAAACTGCCAAATACCACTACATACTACTTCATTATTGTGATAAACTAAAGGAATGGTTGATTTATACAAACTAACTGAGTTAATATAATCATAGTATCCGTACCAAGTAGCTCAATCTGCTGAAAGACTATAAAATCACATATCCAGAATTCGTCAATTACTTAATATCAATGAGTCAATTTCCCTAAAGAGTACAAAAGAACTATCACAAACAAAAACAGGTAATCACGCCTCGGATATAAAACCTAAAAAAGAAAATGAATGCACTATTTGTGTATAGGTTTTTTCTGCGTTTTGTTTATAAGTAGTTCTGTATTATTAGACTTGAAGTGGTGTCTTCGTATTCAGAATGTTCTATTCGGGTTTATTTTCTAGAAAGGTATACACGTTTATATTATCAGCCATTGTTAATTTCGAAGACCCATTTTTGCCTATTTTGTTATTATTATAATTACTCCAATCGCCGTGCACAAAGCACAATATGGTTATTATTTCCAAAATTCAGTTTAGTGTTGACACATGATTTTCTATTAATTTATATGTCTACGATATTGTTATAATAAATATGGTTGCTCTGTTCTTGTTTTCTTAACAGTCTTCCTGTGTGTGTAAGATACTTCATGTCTAGTTATTAACACCAAGTGTATCTGCCTTAAACAATACGAATACAAATTTAGTAAGTAACCACTGTTTAACCCCGTTTGGTGCCGTGGTGGTTCAGCCAGTAAGACTTACGAATACAAATTTAGTAAGTAACCACTGTTTAACCACGTTTGGTGCCGTGGTGGTTCAGCCAGTAAGACTTGCGCTCGCTAACTAGAAGATCCTGTGTTTGATCCTGGTGTTGGCTGATTAAGTTCATTGTTTCCCACTGTTAGTGGTGAGAGGGGAGGGTCTGGCAGCGGACAATGTATGGTCGTTTGGGTGAGACGAAAAACCGAGGTCCCGTGTATACACTGGTGTGCACCTAAAAGAGCCCATGGCAGTTGGAGTTTGAAATAAGAGTAGACCATAGTGCCGCTGCCCGACACTATATTATGGCGTATGTCCATCTTCATTAGCAGAACAGGACGTTCAACCTCATTCCAATTCATTTTAACCTAGTCAGAGTTGAGGAATTGTCATCATACCACAATTGGTTTAGTACGAAGACTCATTTTAAACATGAAAGCCGCGGTCTGAATGTAATTGACATTTCTATTATAATTATTTTTTAGGCTATACAAAAGCCCGCATGATAAAATGTCACTTAAAGGAACTCAATTGATCATGCACCCTTATCTCAAGTAAGAAGAGCCCGCATTTCATGTTAACTGCTAATCACTGATCACGGTTAAAAGAATCAAATATTTATGTGTTTTAAACGGCCTATATTCAGCGATGACTTTTCGTTTAAGACAATAAGAGAACTTGTGTTCCTTCAGAAAATAAATTGAACTATGTCAAATATTTTGATATGAATACAAATTTTCATTTATATATTTAAAAGGTGGCCTATTAAAGTGGATACGTTTTCTATGTTTCTGTGTAACTTCTCTCGATGATTTAATTGAAAGGAGAAACTCCATTAAAGCCTCAATTTTTATTTTTTGTAAACATACGGTGCAATTAAAGGGACAATAACACTCTTGCTGGCTTGACAGCTCCAGAAAATAAATAATAACCTTATTCTAAGTATTAGATGTTTAAGTGTCCTACTTGCTGTGTAAATTGTCCATTACATCCTATTTTACTTGTCCTGAGGGTTCGAAAATATTTTAAAATCCAAGTCACATTTGAAAAGGTTTACGTTAGGCTTTTCAAATCATTTAGTTGATTTTTTCGAATTTTTAAAATTAGGTGTTAAGAAAAAATTTGTATCATCAATTAATTGGAATATTGTAAAATAGTACAATTTGTTTACCAGAATAAAGATTGGGACATATTATTCAGTTACAACAAGAGTGGTATTGAGCCTTTAAACAATGATTACGGTTTCTATTCGTGTTATATCAGCTTTTGGTAAATTTGGCAATCCAAGTCACATTTGAAAAGGTTTACGTTAGGCTTTTCAAATCATTTAGTTGATTTTTTCCATTTTTTTAAATTAGGTGTGTTAAGAAAAAAATTGTATCATCAATTAATTGGAATATTGTAAAATAGTACAATTTGTTTACCAGAATAAAGATTGGGACATATTATTCAGTTACAACAAGAGTGGTATTGGGCCTTTAAACAATGATTAGGGTTTCTATTCGTGTTATATCAGCTTTTGGTAAATTTGGCAATTAACTGCATGGTTGACCTCATATATGGAATACGTCTCACAGAGGGAGCATGCTTTTCGTCTGTTATATGATAAATTGTATCAAAAAATTTAATGAATTTGCAAACTATACAAATGCCCGCAAGGGCCTTTTATTTAAGCAAACGGGTACCTTTTTTTTTAAATATTTGTTTCTTAAATGGTTCAAAACAACATTTTAGGTTTACTCCTAGTTTTCTGTGCCACCCAGTATTATAATGTTGCCTAAATATCGAGCAACGATTTCCCTAACATATCTTTGTAATATTTCCATTTAAGTGGCTATTGACTTTATTAAAAACGTCTTTATTTAGAGATATAGTCCATAAGATTCCGAAAGTACAATGCTTACCAAATAATAAATCCAATCAGACAGCAAGAAATATTATGAATTTTTATTGAACTCCACACTGGGTCGATTAGGTTGACAAAAGAAAAGCCAATCGTACAGTTGTTAGTTTGCCTAGCTCTCAACATTACGTTTTCCTTTTTTTATTGTGTAGACCAAAGCAAATTTTTTAAAAAGTAAGGGAAAGCAAAGTTATTATCAGAGGATAAAATGAACTATAGCGCATGCATTTGAAAATAACAATGATAACTTATTTTTAAGATTGATGTAAACAAAATCATTTTGCAGTTACATAGATTCCACTATAGTCCGTGCTATAAGTTTGTGTCATACATTTCATATATTTTTTAAATTGTAGTTTAAATGCATATATACAATGGTGGGGTTAGGTGGGGGCAAACATTGGTTTTCGAAGACTACATTTTGGTAATTAATAGCTATCTTTGACTTTAATGGTCATTGATAATTACTTCGATGATTTGCTTATTTATCAATACGGCATGGAATGAAGGTATCAATATTTGTCCCCACATGTCTAGAAAAGTCGATCGAAAATTGGTTGGTTTGCCAAACTCTTAACATTTACGTTCGTCTTGCTTAGAGTGTTAGCCAAAGAGCGTACTTTTTGTTTCAAGTTATTGTCTATGAATAAAATGATTATGACAAATGATTGAAGGACATAAAAATAATTTGCATATTAAAGACATAACAGTTATATATCAGTTTAGAGTTTAAACTCCGCTATACTTCGCACTAAGTCTGTCATGTTTTACATTAAATTTTGTTCTATTTCATTTTCATTGTATCAAAAGATCGCAAATATCACTTTCATTTATCGACTAGTTATTTCTTCAGAATTTTTATAAAATTATCAAAAGGAGTAATTAGCTAAAGATGGTTGAGGGAAATAATGGTTTTCGAAAACATATACTGAAAGGTAATATCCCGGCTATAAGATTCAATCGGATTTCAACTACCCCCATCATGTTTCTCTATACCACCAATAAGCGACGGTGGTGTGTATTACATAGTTTGTAGCATAAATCATAACTTTGCGAACACTGAACGAAAATCGAACATATTCCTATTATAGATCTAACTTTCACAATATTCAATATTACAGTTTGCTAGGGATGCATAGAAACGATAAATGGCGCATTGGGGCTTTAACCGTCATTGACAATGGGGTCTGAATAAAAACTATGACGCGTGTATTTTTACTAAGCCTCTTTAAATTTGGAATTTCATCTCTAGATATTATTATATGAGCTCTAAGCTAGCTATGTACAACTTCACATTTGCAGATTTCACTAAACTAACAAATTTTTGATGCCTGCTGTGTATAATGCAAGAGGACACAAATTATTAAAATTCAATGAATTAAATAGCCTTGATTTGACAAAATATATATTCAACCAAGCCCACCTTCACACCACTTTATTAGACACAGACATGTTATATTTTCCTGAAGAGTACTTGATAAAGTATAACATTAATTGTATGTAGATTTTACTAATGCCGTAATTTAAGTGTATCATTAATTGGAATTTATTGGTAGCGCATTCCGGGTGTCGCCATTTGGTAAGTTCATTTGTTCACTGTTTCGAAAGACCTACACTTAAACTAATTTTACACCTACACCTAAACTAATTTTAAACTGTCGATTTCTAAATAACTTATTATACCTCAAAACGAAAAAAAGATTAAATACATTTATAATTCATACGAAAAAAAAATATACTAACCTTCTACATGGTTGTTGGTGCGGTTATCCATATCTCTCTGATGGACATTCCACAAGGCTGGTGGAAAGGCGCCTTCTAAATAATTATTCTCCATGTATGTTATGAAATCTTGTAGCTCTGGACAACGTCTAATTAGTCGTAAAGTTCTTGGAGCTGTTGCCAAAGTTTGAAAATTGGCCCTTACTAAGGCTACGGGCAGATATCCAATCGCCATAAATTTGCGTAAACATTTTCGTAATCGTATGTGTCTTCTGTATCTTGTTGCGAGTCCCAATTCTTGAATCTTACTCCACAGGCTTTGAGTAAAATGAAAATAGCAACCACTAAGCTCAGCATTTGGTAATTCAGTTTCAATGGCGTTGGTTAGTGCTGGCTCGAAGTCTGAAATTACTTTTCTAGGTCTCCATCTATGTCCCGATTCTCTTCTCACTGCTGCTTTGACAACGCCCAAAACGTGACGATAGTGCCCTACCGTTCGACCCACCATCAACCCCATAACGAATGGCAGCACTCTATTTCTATAATTCCCGTGAATGGTAAAAACTTGGGTATAAGGATTTGGACAAGTCCGGAATGTCCCATCCATGTATACATCTTTACATTTTTGAAGTCGTCGAATGTTTTCTGCCGTCCCAAAAAGTGTCACTCCCCAGTCTACATCGTGGTCCAAGAGAAAATCATAATTAGACCAAGTCTTTGTCCATTGGCCCTCAATAACAACATCTGTAGTGGTTTTCGGAACTGAAGGTAGGATTTTTCTTCTTGCCCGTGCCAAGATAGGTCGTATCTTTAAAAAATCGGGTATAAATTCCCGAGAATCTCCTCTACGCACCTTTTTAATCAATCCAGCATCATAAATTCGCTTAATTGTTGTAGACGGATTTCTTCTAATTTCTTTTTTTAACTCCATAACAAATCTCGCATATTCGATCATGTCGTCGTCAGATTCGTGATTATGATCTGTCTCTCTCCAGATATTAATGTTCGGATTATCGGAACGGACGTCAAATACATTTGTTTGGACAAGAGAGCCGCATATTGGTTTCCAGCATCTCCAGTATATTGTAGTTTTAGTCACTTTGTTCCTCAAATACCGAAAACCATCCTTGACGAGAACTTTTCCCCCTTTTCGGTGCCCGTCACAAATGAAAGCCATTTTTATGAAACCGCGTGATCTCAACTCTGTCCTTATTTACAGTAAAATGATGCTGAAAATCAGAAATATTTTACTCTTCTTCCATACACCAAATCATTGATCGTGCAGTTACATTAATTATTGATGAATATTTAATAGTTAACTTATTATGCGGGAATATCGATTTTATCGATTAAATCTTAATTTCATTAAAAATGCTGGATCTGCCTTAAAATCTATACTAAAAAATGGCTATTTTGGTTTTATTTCGGACTCACAGACCTTCTAGGCAGTGGACCTTCTAAATACCAAACGCATTCCCTACGTATATATATAAGTAATAATAAATATATACCAATAATTTAAAAATAAATAATATATGATATATATCTTCTCGTCTTCTCTTGGCTCACTAAGTTAATTTCACATAAATCAATCTTAAATAAACCACCGCAACGTCACAAAGCAAACTGCAATGCAAGATAAAAAGATTGGCAGGGATTGGAGAAAGCAATAACGCGTCTTTCACAATGAACATGCCTTCTAATGAATATGTATTAGTAATCAGCTACTTGTGATTATTGTGTTTAGTTTAAAATAATGGATTTTGTATAATTTAAGTAAAAGCGCGCCCAATAAATTAACAAAGCGCGTGCACAGCTTTTTCGAAGAGATAATTTTGAGAGATTTCACACGAATTTGCATAATTGAAAATGAGTGACGGTAGATGTTTTACTTAGCTTAATATTTGTAACTAGGGTTCCCATTGCAACCCTAATAGGACTGACATCTGATGGCTGTAAGTTTGACCCCTCGACGATAACGGTGTCAGGCATTAGTCAATAAATCACGGATTGTAGTTTTGTAGAAATGATTGAAATGTATTAAGCTAGAACCCGGAAACAGTCTGCCCAGTACACCAAGGGGGAGATTTGAACTTTAACCTCAGTCCTTGTTAAGCCATTTCAAATTACCATATTCAATAACATTTTAATGTACACTAGTGCTCTAATATAATAGAGCTTCATCAAACAAAATGAAAGATTCTGCGTCATCTGGTTGTATGCAAAAAGTTGGAATTGGCTGAACAAAAAAAGTCTATCGCAGACAATGGATTACTTATGATACATGAAATGCTTTCAAGTCCGCTGTAGACTAAAGTAGATCGACACTAGCATGATGGGGCATTTAGTAACGCGTCCCTCATTCTTGGAGTCTGACCCGTTGCCTTAACGTAATATGATTGGCACGAGGGAAGTACCCCGAGTATTTCTGTAATTTCGTAGTAATCTGTAATAAAAGGCCTACCTTTCAGCAAAGAGAGCCATATCGGCGCTGGCTTAAAAAAAGGAACTAATCAGTAGATCCCGGGTTCTATTCCGGTGTACGTCGTCGTTTCCTCTTGTCGGTAGTGCAGGATAGCGAAAGGACTTAGTCGTTCAGATGGAAAGAATATAGATCCCATGTAAACGTAAAAGAACCATTGACTGTGTGGGCGGAAACGCCGCTTTTCGGGCAAAATTTCCCTCTTTGCACAATGCATAGTGTATACCCGCCTTAATTAGCTCGTTTAACCCCATTGCATTTCTTTCGGCGAAATGCATAATATGACAAAATACATGCATTATAGTTATTATATGGTATATATATATACCAGTCAAAATGTCATATACCTTTATTACCAGTATTACATATATATACTGGGCAAAATGTCATATACTTTTATTACCAGTATTATCATATTTTGGCAAATATCAAGCGCGGTCTCCACATACATTTGCACAATATTAATTTAGCAACATACTTCATTTGTGTTTGTGGTTTAAATTGTAACTGTCAAAAATCATACTCTAAATTTTATAATAATACGCATATACAAAATAACAATAGGCTGTAGCCACGTTGGCTAAGCGAGTAAGACGCTGGTTCGCTAGCCTGAATGTCGGAGATTCGATCCCGATGTTGGGCGAGAAAGTTCATCGGGATTTTTCGACATGGTTTCCCCATGTCAGTAGTGCAGGGCGGTGGGTCTGACAAGGACAACTGTCTAGTCGTTCGGATGGGACGAAAAACCGAGGTCCCGTGTACACATTGGCGTGTGCGTAAAATATCTTTTGGCAGTTGGAATTCGATATAAGAGTAGGCTGTAACGTCGCTGACCGGGAAAAATTTCCTTCATAGCACACTGTATGGCGTATGTATGCCCGTCTTCATTAGCCCAGTCGGAACAGAACACTAGGACGTTAAACCCCATATCATTTCATTTCACACAATTCTAGAATATCAAATGCATACTTAATTTGTGTTTGTGGTTTAAATTTTAACTATCGGCAATCATACACTCTAATTTTTATAATAATACGCATATACAAAATAACAATAATGGGCTGTAGCTCCACTGCTTTCTTTGCATGTAGTATGCCCGTCGTCATCAGCCCCAGAAAAGTAAGCTTATAAACCCCATTTCGTTTCATTAACTATGTATTATGAAAATTATGACGTTTACCCCCTTTTCTTTTCTTTCGGCGAAAAGCATAAAAATACAAAATACATGCATTATAGTTATTATATGGTATATATATATACCGGACAAAATGTCATATACTTTTATTAACAGTATTATATATCTTGGCAAATATCAAGCGCGGTCTCCACAAACATATGCACAATATTAATTTAGAAACTGTTCTTATGAACATAATTTTACAATATCAAACGCCTACTTCATTTGTGTTTGTGGTTTAAATTGTATCTGTCGACCATCATACAATCTAAATTTTATATATACGCATATACAAAATAACAATAGGCTATCCACGTTGGCTAAGTGAGTAAGACGCTGGCTCGCTAGCCTGAAGGTCGCGGATTCGATCCCGATGTTGGGCGAGAAAGTTCATCGGGATTTTTCGACATGGTTTCCCCATGTCAGTAGTGCAGGGCGGTGGGTCTGACAAGGACAACTGTCTAGTCGTTCGGATGGGACGAAAAACCGAGGTCCCGTGTACACATTGGCGTGTGCGTAAAATATCTTTTGGCAGTTGAAATTCGATATAAGAGTAGGCTGTAACGTCGCTGACCGGGAAAAATTTCCTTCATAGCACACTGTATGGCGTATGTATGCCCGTCTTCATTAGCCCAGTCGGAACAGAACACTAGGACGTTAAACCCCATATCATTTCATTTCACACAATTCTAGAATATCAAATGCATACTTAATTTGTGTTTGTGGTTTAAATTTTAACTATCGGCAATCATACACTCTAATTTTTATAATAATACGCATATACAAAATAACAATAATGGGCTGTAGCTCCACTGCTTTCTTTGCATGTAGTATGCCCGTCGTCATCAGCCCCAGAAAAGTAAGCTTATAAACCCCATTTCGTTTCATTAACTATGTATTATGAAAATTATGACGTTTACCCCCTTTTCTTTTCTTTCGGCGAAAAGCATAAAAATACAAAATACATGCATTATAGTTATTATATGGTATATATATATACCGGACAAAATGTCATATACTTTTATTAACAGTATTATATATCTTGGCAAATATCAAGCGCGGTCTCCACAAACATATGCACAATATTAATTTAGAAACTGTTCTTATGAACATAATTTTACAATATCAAACGCCTACTTCATTTGTGTTTGTGGTTTAAATTGTATCTGTCGACCATCATACAATCTAAATTTTATATATACGCATATACAAAATAACAATAGGCTATCCACGTTGGCTAAGTGAGTAAGACGCTGGCTCGCTAGCCTGAAGGTCGCGGATTCGATCCCGATGTTGGGCGAGAAAGTTCATCGGGATTTTTCGACATGGTTTCCCCATGTCAGTGGTGCAGGATTGAGGGCCTGACAAGGACAACTGTCTAGTCGTTCGGATGGGAAGAAAAACCGAGGTCCCGTGTACACATTGGCGTGTGCGAAAAAGATCTTTTGGCAGTTGGAATTCGATATAAGAGTAGGCTGTAACGTGGCTGTCCGGGCAAAATTTCCTTCATAGCACACTGAATGGCGTATGTCCGTCTTCATTATCCTAGTCGGAGCAGAACAGTAGGACGTTAAACCCCATGTCATTTCATTTCACACAATTTTAGAATATCAAATGCATACTTAATTTGTGTTTGTGGTTTAAATTTTAACTATCGGCAATCGTACACTCTAATTTTTACAAAAATACGCATATACAAAATAACAATGGGCTGTAGCTCCACTGCTTTCTTTGCATGTAGTATTCCCGTCGTCATCAGCCCCAGAAAAGTAGGCTTATAAACCCCATTTCGTTTCATTAACTATGTATTATGAAAATTATGACGTTTACCCCCTTTTCTTTTCTTTCGGCGAAAAGCATAAAAATACAAAATACATGCATTATAGTTATTATATGGTATATATATATACCGGACAAAATGTCATATACTTTTATTACCAGTATTACATATCTTGGCAAATATCAAGCGAGGTCTCCACATACATGCACAATATTAATTTAGAAACTGTTCTTCTGAACATAATTTTACAACAACAAATGCATACTTCATTTGTGTTTGTGGTTTAAATAGTAACTGTCGACAATCATACTCTAAATTTTATAATAATACGCATATACAAAATAACAATAGGCTGTAGCCCACTACACCGGCAAAATTTCCCTGTATGTGGTATGCCGGTCTTCATCAGCTCCAGAAAAAGTAATACGTTAAACCTCATTTCATTTCATTTCCTATGCAATATGAATTATATAATTGTGTATCTTACCTTTTTCTACAGTATCAACTACTTTAATTGTGTTAAAATACACTCTGAATTGTTTATCATCCAAAGGCTATACGATGAATGAAAATGGTGATGTTAACAAATAGATGAAGATATTGTCACATTGATAGCGATAGCATGTGACTAAATAAATCGATATAAGCGCGACAAGTATAGTATTACGTACAGTATTAAGAGTTATGAATTGTTCTAAGTCTTTGAAAGTAATATTTTGCAAAG